TCAGTTCCTAGAACCCATAGGATGGCTAACAACCTTCTGTAACTCCAGTTCCAGGGGATCTGACACCCTCTTCTGGCCTCCATAGGCATTGCACAATGTCAGTGTACTTACATGTGAGCAAAACACTGATACACATAAAATAAAAATAAATAAACCATAGCTGGCCATGGTGGCACACGCCTGTAATCCCAGCACTTGGGAGGCAGAGGCAGGCAGATCTCTGAGTTCAAGGCCAGCCTGGTCTACATAGTGAATTCCAGGACAGCAGGGTGGTTACAGGGAGACCCTGCTTCAAAAAGACAAAAATAAATAAATGAATGAATGAATGAATAAATAAATAAATAAATAAAACAAAAACATTTTTTAATATTTTTTATGTGTATTCATGTATTGCCTGCATGTAGGTCAGTGCACCCGTGTTGTGTAATGCCCACAGAGGACAGAAGAGGCTGTCAGATCCCCTGGAACTGGAGTTACAGACAGTTGTTAGCTGCCATGTGGGTGCTGGGCACCAAACCTGGGTCCTCTGCAATTTTTTTTTTTAAGACAGGGTGTCCTTGTACTCCAGCTGGCCTGGAACTCTTTATGTAGACCATGCTGGCTTTGAACTCACAGAGCTCCACTTGCCTCTGCCTCCAAAGTGCTGGGATTACAGGCATGTGCCACAAGCCCAGCTAAACAGTGTTCTTTAAAAAAAAATTTATTTATTAGCTGGGCATGGTCCGCTAGGGCTACAGGGAGACCCTGTCTCAAAAAATTATTTTTATTTCCTGTGTATGAGTGTTATGTCTGTGTGTATGTAAGTGCACCCATGTTGTGTAATGCCTGAGGGGGACAGAAGAGGGCATCAGATCCCCTGGAACTGGAGTTACAGTCAGTTGTCAGCTGCCATATGGGTGCTGGGATTTGAACCTGGATCCTCTGCAAGAGCAGCCAGCATTTTTAACCACTGAGCCACTCTTCAGCCCTATAAACAACATTCTTATCTGACGAACCATCTCTCTAGCCCCAAGTCTGCATTATTATTCACTGATGTTATAGATTGGGGTGGGAGGCAGAGACAGAAGAAAAGTAACTTATTTAAGATTGCATAGACAGAAAGAGGTAAGGCTAGGGACTGGGGATATAGCTCATGTAAGAGCCCTTTCCTAGCATATTCAATGCCCTGGGTTCCATCCCCAGCACTGCAAAATACATATACACATATATAAATAATGCTATGATTTATTTTCTTTCTCTTTATCTAGTTTGTTTTTAGAGAAAGGGACTCACACTGTAGCCCATGCTGACTGGCAACTATGTAGCCCAGACTAGCCTCAAACTCCTGGCAATCCTTTTACCTCAAACTCCCAAGTGCTGGGATTTCAGGTGTCCACTACACCTGGCTAGTGTGGAGATTCGAACCCTCAACCCTGTGTCCTGGCTTTCATTACAGGGGCTGCATGGAAGCTCCTGTCGGGTGTTCGGGAGGGCCAAACACAGGTGGACACCCCCCAGGTTGGGGACATGGCTTATTGGTCCCACCCCATTGACCTGCACTTCGCTACCAAAGGTCTCCAAGGTGGGTACCAGGATGAGAGGAGTGGGGACCAATGACACCGGAAGCAGCTGGGGTCGTGACACCATGGCTGCCCCTACTCCCCATTCCTTGTGGGCTCCTTTTCTGGCCAGGTCTGCTCCAGTGGGATGGAGTTGAGGTCTGACCTGAGCTACAAGAAGTCCAAGGTCTGTGGGCTGTGACAGAGGATGGGGTAAAGGAGAGATGGGAAGATAGGGGTCCAGTTGGGAGGGGAGGTAGCTTTCAAGTAAAGGGTAATAAAGGGAGGGGTGAAGAGAGCTAGAGAGGAGGGGCCGGACAAGGGCTGGTTGCTATTCCTCACAAAAGCTGAGGCCTAGCTCAAAGGGGAAGTGAGTACTGGAGGGAGGAGGGTATCAAATCAGCAATGCTTTTCTGGTTAAAATGCAGCAGATTCTGGGAAATGGCTTGGGTATTTCAGCAATATCAGTACTGTTGACTGAGAACCTGCTCCTCCCCAGCCTGGTCTAGGTGACACCATCCGTGACCAAGACAGACTGCCCCCCACCCCGTACTCTCTTCAAGGGTTCCATTCTAGGTAGGAGATACTTCTGTCTCCAGACAGGCCAGCCCAGAGTAGCTGGAGTTGGAGTGGAGGATTACAGAGGCCATAGGAACCCAGAAGATGTATCTCCAAGGTCACAGGGCCTTCGAGGGCGGGGTGATTAAGTTCTGCTGTGAAGGGCCAGGAGGAGCTAACTAGGCTCAAGGACAAATAGAAGAGGGGTCTGGGCAGAGTGCTGGGCACAGTGGAAGACTCAGAGTAAATTCTGCTGTGAAGGGCCAGGAGGAGCTAACTAGGCTCAAGGACAAATAGAAGGGTCTGGGCAGAGTGCTGGGCACAGTGGAAGACTCAGAGTAAGATGAGCTAGGGCATTTGATGACCGACTGTGTGTTCTAGTTTCTCGATTGCTGTGACAAAACACTCTGACCACTACCAACTTGGGGAGGGAAGAGTTTATTTGTCTTACATCTCCCAGGTCACAGTTCATCAGGAAGCCCAAGGTAGGAACTCAGGGCAAGAACATGGAGGCAGGAGCTGGAGTACAGGCCATGGAGGAACTCTTGCTTATTGACTTGCTCCCCTGCCCCTGATCAGCTTGCTTTCTTATGCAACATAGGCCCACCTGCCCATGAGTGGCACCACCCACAGTGGGCTGGGCCCTCCCACATCACTCATCAAGAAGATGCCCCTCAGACATGGCCACAGGCCAGTCCAGCAATTCCCCAGTTGAGGCTCCCTCAACCCAGGTGTGTCAAGTTGACACTAAAGCTATCCAGCACAATTGACCCCTTGTCAACTCAACACACAGACACATCACTATTAAACCATAACCTTTCCAATTCTTGTCCCCAAGATACATTGTTAACATTAATATCACAACATAACACAGTACAACCGTAAAAGCCCCATAGTCCTTAAAAAAATCCAAACACTTAAAAGTCCACAGTTTATTTTAAAAGTTTCTTAATTGGGGGTGCCTGTAAAATCCAAAACAAGTACTATCTTATTTCAAAGGGAAGAATCGGGCACACCTAAGCAAAACCAAAGTCCAGCTCGAGGCTGGACATCTGGGATTCACTCATGATCTTCTAGACTCCAAAGCGTTCTGACAGCTCCACTTCTCTGACTCTGCTGTCCACAGCACACACAGCTCCTCTCGCAGACCCAGGGCAGCTCCATTCCACACCTACTGCTGTCGTTGGTGGTCATCCCATGGTCCTGGCATCTCCAAAAAGCTGGAGTCACCACTGAAACTGAGGCTACACCTTCACCAATGGCCTCTTCTGGCCTCAGATTCTCTCCATGACCCCTTCAATCCTGGGGTCTTCACTGCAACTGAAGCTGCACTTTCACCTATGGCCTTTCCTGGCCTC